CTATTTAAACAAGCATCACAGATATATCCATGTACACATTTATCCATCTGTAGCATAATCATCATCGTCATTTCAGCCAAAAGACGTCAACTGCTGGATAGACCTCCCCTAAATGGAAAATTTTGCCATAATTGCCACTTCTGAAAGGCGAGTTGGTGGTCGCAATTTGGATGTGGGTATATTCGGAAAAAAAGACGCTGACGCCCATCCTTTAACAATGAAAACTTTACTTACCTATGTATAAATTGGAATTGTTAGCCTATAGCATATATATGTAGCATATATACTCGGTATATACCGGGTTATTTTTACAATGCTAACAACCTCTCAGGACTATACTATACATCATAAACTACAACTTTTGTTCCACGACTTTTAATTATTCATCAGATTCTATTTTCGTAAATAGATGATCAATATCTTAACGATGATAACTGCAAAACGCTGAAGCGCGGGGGGCGCTTGCGTTTGAACTTACTAAATACAGATCTAAAAATTGTCAGACAGTACAATATAAACTTATAAGTTTAGGAAATTAAACTATTTCTCCGGATTTAAATTGCGTATACTGCCCTGATAAGCCGGAAAGCGCTATCTCAATCGGAGTACCTAAGTTTTGAGAAAATAGTTTTTGTGAATTGTATTTTCGCACCTTCAGAAATAAATCTTTTTGAAGATGTTGAAACTTATTTATACGTATTTTTGACTAGACCGCTATTTTGATTATAAAAAAGGTTTCAAAAATTGGGATATGAAAATACTTCTTAGTGGTTTCTTAAATGTTTAAAGTTATATAGCGCTATTTCTATTACACCATTAGATGCGAAAATATTATAGCTATTGAATGGTATAATATAAAAAGACTGAAAGGGTGTATCTCAGAGATAGCGCCTTTCGGCAGGGCAGTATATTTGTTTTTTCAAACAAACCAACAAACCAACAACGGTCGACTCAACCGTGACCATGGGACCTGTAAAGGGCCCGAATATACGCGACAAATATACGTGATTTAAATCCAGAAAAAAGTTTCATTTCCTATGTGTAACAATCGCGAAAACCTAAGAACTTAAAAGTTTATTTTTGGTAAATGTATTATGCTTTCTTAAAAGTCATAGAACAAAAGTTATTGTTTATGATGTCAGTAACATAATCCTGTGACATTGTTAGCAGTTTAGAAATAATCCTGTATGTTTTTAATAATATAATAACAATAATAATAAAAACTAACTAATGAAAGAGTCAACAGTTAAAAAAAATGCAAAAATCGCTTTTGACATTTCATATTGCCCTTCAATACCTAGGTTTTAATTATAGACATATTCCTTGCTTCGTAGCTGAGTGTGTAGATAATAAATTTCAAGGTTGACAGATGTTAATATCATTTATCTTGTAGAATTATTATTTGGTTACCTATATGGGAATAAGTTTGTGTAAAACATAATAAAAAAAGTTCGTGTGTCGTGTTATTGCATTCCAGATTTTTAAAAAGTGGTTATATACTCTGTTTAAGTAACAAATTAGCTGATTTCGTAGAACCTAATCTGGAATATGTAGAAAGGATATCAAATATTGTAAATTAATAATTATATTTGTAATAATTGAATAATAACATGTGCCAGACAACTGCACCAATTGCCTGGTCTCAAACTTAGGAACTCCCTACGAATACCAGAGAACGGATTTTTTTAATAATATCAAGTGATGTGACGAACAAGTCGTGCGCCTGGTGGTAAGTTACGCCTGTCAGTAATAGTTGCAGTGCCATTTAGAGCTTTAAATTGTAAAGATCTGAGAGGTACTGCCACTGCGCCCGTCACCCAGATATATAAGTTGACAAGTCCTATATGCCTGGAATTTTTCTAGCACCTTTCCTTTCAAAATCGGAACGCAGTAAAGCTTACATCATCACTTGGTGGCAGAAATGAGTAAGGCAGCACTTCTATGGACGAACTTTTCCAGAAAGAGCTCTACTATAGTAGTACTCAAGAACTGCTACATGGAACCCCCGCATCCAGCGCCCACAATGTAAACCATAGGCCTCCGAGTTCATCAAATTATAACTATAAATGTAGTAGCAGTAAAGGTCATTGTAAAAGAGTTCGTCTAAGGAAGTACTGCCACCTTGCCTATTTCTGCATTCCTGTTTTGAAGGATAAGGGTACTGCTATTTATGGAACTTGTCAGTTTATGTCTCAGAGTGAGGGGCGGTGACAGTCCCCTCAGATCTTTGGGATATATAAAACTCTGAGGCGCACTGCAACTGTCATGGATAAGCGCGTCGTCGTTCTCGTCGCGTTCGTCTCGTAGCTTACTATAATTTAAAAAATACAAACGTGTGAATTCAGGAGTTGTTTTAGTATACACAAATCACGTAGAATGACTTCAGACGTGTATGACAAGACTGATTAACTATGTGTGGAGCATGGGGAAAGTTCGTAGTATCTGCCCACTCCAGCGGGAGACAAGCGCGGTAGTATATTCGTAGATACAAGTAGTAAATGCTAGCATATCATACTTTGAAGCTCAACCACGTTCTGAAATATTAAATAACTAATTTCGTCCACTGACCAAAATGAACGCCGATGTGGAAAATAGTATCTAGCGACTCCATTTTAGGGCTTAAAGTTTTCAGGTTTTGCTATACTATTTATTATGTTTCTGTTTAATATGTTGTTCACATGCCATGATCATATAGGTACTACGGCATTTCTTAAAGATCACTCTGTTACATAAGGATATTCACCAGTTATTACCGGATATTTATCGATTTCGTTATTTGAATGTCTGTATGAACTTTTTTTGCACATGGCACTTGTCAACTTACGTCTCAAGGTGATGCAGTGGCAGCGTCCTCAGATCTTTGCGATTTGAAGCTCTAACTGGCGCTATAACTGCTATGGACAGGCGTGTCGCTTACCATCAGGCGCACACTTATCCGTCCCGTCACTTATGTCCACTTGTACTTAACTCAAGAACATCTTAAACCTA